CTCTGGCCTGTACCCCAGTTCTGTATATACAAATAAATAAAATCTTTAAAAAAAAAAAAAAATCTTTCATGTGGGCCCTCCCTGTTGGTGCAGCGGGTTAAAGCACAGCACTAAGAAGTTTAAGCCACTTCCACATGAGTTCGATTCCTGCTTGCCCCGGAGGAGATCCACGTGGCGCAGCATACCTCTCCTGACCCGCCAGCTGCTCCTCTCAGCAGTGTACCTCATCAGTCTACCTGTTCTGCTCCCCACTCTGTCCCTGGTGAATTCTCTCACCCTCCGCATCTCTGGCCTGTACCCCAGTTCTGTATGAATAAGTAAATAAATCTTTAAAAAAATAAGAAAATAAAAAATCTTTCATGTGACTTTACAAGTCCCAGAAAATCCCTACATGTAATCATGTCAATATCATGAAATATTTTGTGCAGATGAATAAAATTTCTCAGTGTGTGTTAAGAACTTGGTTTCTACTTATAGAAACTTATTCCAAGTACTTTTCAACAATATTTTGGAAATCAAACTACACTTGGAAATTATCCTTTTTTTTTTTCTTGGTCCAACTGTTAAAAGCAGACAGTTATGATCTGCATTTAAAATATCAGTGACAAGCGAGGTGAAAAACCACCTAAAGAGGGTACTTATGTTTGAGGGGATTAGTAGGTGAGGTCAAAAATATATGTCAACCAGGAAGCATGGACTGATTATGTTAGCCACTGAAGAATTAATTACTTGGTGGTCGCCTGAATTGACCTGGGGGAACAAGATTGGAGGCAGGTTAACCAGGAAATGCAGTGTCTGAGACACAGCACGGAGGGTTGGTGTGTACAGAAAGGTACAGACTCCGTAAGTACTCCGGAGGTAAAGTTTGTGTTTAAGTGAAAATGGAGTGAGGTAAGTCTTCCACGCGCCTATCTTTCGGCAGGCACTCAAGGGGCCTGACAGTCATTCAATGACCACCCTCTGGTTCTTAGGTCGTTTGCATCTCCTCCAGGGTTGTGCGAGGTTTGTGTTTGCCTTGTGCGTCGAGAGAAACAAAAAAGCAAAAAAGAGGGGGTGTGCTCTTTTAAGTCGCCTTATAACCACATCTCCCACTCTATCCCTATCCCTCTTTGTCTCTCACGCCTCTGTTCTGGGGTTTCAGGTCCCAATTAATTAATTAATCTCCTTGGCAGAAATTCGCCAATAGTTTGCCAGTGCGGCCCGGAAGCAAAATGCTCCCGAAGCCCCCTGGGAAGTGTAGTTCGATCCCTCCGGAGGCCCTGGCCGGCCTCACAACCAAAGGCTGAGTGGGGAGGCGCACTAGCCGGCCGTTTGGAAGCCGCAGCGGTGAGGGCTGCTCGGCCCTGGTCACCTGCGCGCCCAAGATAAGCAGGGTCACCGAGCCAAAAAGCCACGCCCGTCTCCGTGGTAACCGCTTGCCCGAGAGGACTCTGGGAAGTGTAGTTCACCGGCGGGCCCGGGGCGCGAGACGTGAGCGGCTGCCGTTACCGCTCGTCACCGCGGTCTGAGCGGGTCTGAGAACCGCCGCGCGATTCGCCTTTCGGATGATG